GCGCAATGACACCGGGGGGCCCGTATACCTGCCCAGCGAATCATCAAAAACCGTGGGGAATTCCCGGCAGATTCCCTCGTAGCCCTGGGCGGCGCACAGCTGTATTCCCTCGACGGTGATTCCCAGAGGCTCGAACCAAGCCCGCCCCAGCAGACTCACTAGGTCGCCGGCGACCACAATCAAGTCCAACCGCCTTTTCAACTGTCCGTATTGCACCCTAAAGGTCCCGACCCCCTTTATTGGCACCGGGTTTCTCTGGAAGTCCATGAGGGTGACTTGTGCTGGCCGCAACCGCGGCCCCCCCCTGGGGCATAACTGCTTGAGCGTGGCCTCCGAGATGATGGAGGCCGCGGAGCCCGAGTCTATCTCCATGCGGCAGGGGGACCCTTCTATTTCTACGGTCACCATAAATTTGGGGTGGGCCGCCTTCCCGGGGAGTTGGAGTACCTTTTCCTCGGTGTGCGCGATCCTGTAGAGGTCCTCGCTATCCGCGCCGTCCTCGAAGTGGGCCTCCGCTCGGTGGCGCGGAGGCTGGCCGCGGCTGGGGACCTTGGCGCGACAGGCGCGGGCGATGTGTCCAGTGCGCCCGCAGGTCCGGCAAACAGCTCCCCTGAACCGGCAAGTCTTCCGGTCGTGCGGATCCCCGCAGCTGGCGCACCCGGGCTGGATTGTGTTGGGCGGCTGGCGACCGGAGTTCGCGTTCGCCCGTGGGGTGCGCCGCGGAGCTTGCGTGCGGTGGACGTCCTCATCCGGGCTATTGGGTGTCCCGGTGTTGGCTTGATGTGCGGTCGAGGTGGCTGGGTGGGACCTTTCCCAGGCAGATGCGGTGGCCATGGCCGACGCAATGGTGACCTTCTCGCCCTCCATGATGCGTCGCCTCAGCTTCTCCTCCCGCAGGCCTGCGACGAACCGGTCCCTCAGCGCCATTTCTAAGTGACCCTCGAACTTGCAATCCGCGGCCAGGCGGCGGAGCTCGGCGAGGAACTCCGCAGCTGTCTCGCGGCCTAGCTGGTTCCGATGCTGGAACGCCACGTGGCAGGTCATCTCCGACGGCTTCGGCGTGTAGTGGTTCTGGACTGCGTTGACTAACTCCTCGAAGGTGCAGTCATCAAACGTTTTGGGGGAGATCAGATGCTGGGCTAGTTCCACTATGGCGGGTCCGCATGCCCCGAGTAGAAGCCCTTTCTTTCTGGCCTCGTCCGTCACCTGGCAGAAGATGAGGACTTGCTTCACGCCGGTGATCCAAGCTCCCCATTGCTGAGGGCGCGCCGTGTCGAATGGCTGTATCAGCCCTGATCCCGGAGCAAGGGCCATTGTGCTGGTCGGTTGCGGCTGGGAAGCGGATTGCTCACCCTCGGTGCTCATCAATCGACGGAGCGCGGGCGGCGGTGCGTTGTCTTCCCCTTAGCGTCCGACAGCCCGACTGGTTGCTCAGCGGGATCCCACCTTCGTCGCCATTGAAGTGTAGTGGGTTAGACGCGTAAAGAAAGCATGGAGGCTGATGTAGTGATCAGCATGGCTTTACTGGTACACAACAAGACTAAAGACTAACGGCCGGCAGGCCAACTATATACACAGTCCAGGGGCTTCCCCTGGTCCCATTGGTGGGTTTGAATCTCCCGCCAAGGTCCCATTGGTTCCCCCCAGTGGAGGGACTAGAATCCTAGTCCCATTGTTGTGCCGGACTGAAGCTCAGGAGTGTGCGCTGACCTCCGGTGGTGGTCAGCGGACACAACAGTTGAGTAAATGATGCTGAAAGACGGAAATTATCAGGGCAAGAATCCAAAGCTTAGATAAGTGAGCTAGCTTGACTGTGATTGGTGGGATTTTGTTTTGTCCTATCACACAAGGTTTACAGCCTCAAAATACTGCTGGATCCAGTTTTATTATTCAAGAGTTGTGGCTAGGATTTTTATTATTGTCAGACTTTACCAATGTTTCCCTAGAGCTCCTTCAGCATGCACTTAAGCAAATGCCTGTGCCCTCAGACCTCTGGACCTCCCTCGGTAGCTTCCCTGCCACTGTCTGGGCAAATTTTAAGATTTATCAGATTGGCTCGGCACAGTCAGCATTTCACCCCTTGATCGTTTCCTCCCTCAAGATGACCCATTTTTCATTAAGGCAAGGAACAATAACCGGAAAAGGTAATTTTTACAGATAAATTTGTTCCCATTGCTGCAATACTAACAATGTTAGTACAAAAGATTTGCCTTGCCTATATGCACTGGATCATTTCTTTCACAAGTAACAGTATATTTTTATTTTGATACAATTTCCTAACAATAATTAGTACTATTTTTAATCTCCATATTCACTGGATGTCCGCAAATGAAAGCATAGACTTATTAAAATGTAACCACCATGCAGCCGATGATGTGATTCTTGAAAGAGCTCTCTTAGCCCCACCTATCTCACGTGGTGTCTGTTGTGGGGAAGGGAAGAGAAAGGAGATTGTAAGCCACTCTAATAAGACTCATTCAGGTAGTGAAGGGTGGGGTTGGAGTATAAATCCAATCTCCTCTTCTCTTCCTCTTCTTCTAATATTATGACTGTCACCTGATATTAAGATATTCATCTAGAAAGATAGATTCATGACAGAAAAACAAATTTCTGTTTAGATCTATCTTGCCACCAGTGCCTGAGGAAAGGAGATCTCCAGATACAGAATTACTGTCCAGCACTGCACACAGAGTACCAAATACAAGTGTCAGTTATCTTTGTGGCAGGAGAAGGAAGATGGGCCCCAACCTTAGTACAAGTACCACTGTTGCCTTCTATTGACTGCTCAGTAGGTGATCATTATTGTCAGAGCTCAGAGTACTGAGTTTGCTAGGGAGGGGGATGACAATAGCAGCAGTCCCTGAATCAGGGCTATAATTTTGTTATCCGTTGTCAACTGTGTCAGCAGCAACTTATTACTCAGGAAAATATTTGGTGTGTTCTTTCCAAGGGTCATCAGCTTCCTTCCATTCTGCCAGACGTCCGGCACAGGCAAAGCACTGTACAGCATCCTTCACCCCTGCAAGAACACAACAATGTCTTTGTTAAAGTGTAGACTTTGTTGTACAGAGTCGTTAAATTGGTTGAATTTTTCATTGTACTGCATGATGTTGCTTGGAAGCAACCCAGAACGTGCTTGAAGGAGTGGTGTACAAATATTTTAAATTAATCAGATTAAATAAATAATGGGTTAATACAGTTATTCTTATTGTGTATTTATATTTTCCAACAGGGACGGCAATAAATAAACACAGCAATGATGGTTTCCATTTGTGGCCAGAATAATTTCTTCTTTTTTTGCCGGCACCTTACTAGCATAAGGAAAAATGTCCTTATTCTATCACTCAGAGAAATGAGATTCAGGTGGGGTAGCTCTGTTGGTCTGAAGCAGCAGAACAAAGTTTGAGTCTAGTGGCACCTTTAAGACCAACAAAGTTGTATTCATAGTACAAGCTTTCATGAGCAACCACCATTTGAGGTCTTAAAAGTGCCACTGGTCTCAAACTTTACTCTGAGAAATGTTTAATGTGTTTGCTCATCACCAGGAGTAATGATAAAACTGGAGGGGTGGGGAAATAAAAGGAGCAGTAACACCGATAATGGAGGCAGGGGAGAGGTGTTCCAGAAGAGGACAGAAATGGTCCCATCTATGGCTACATACACAAGTGGCCATTTTTGGCCAGGAGGCTACAGAACCCTAGCCCTGCCCACAATATTATTTGCCAGTATTATCTAGAGCGATGCATTAGCTCCAGTTACAGATTTAAAAGCAGAATACCTTATAAGCGAAATGGATGTGGTCTATAGGGCCTATTCCGTTTACATCAAGAAAAATAATCTGCCTGGGAAGATAGTGGTTAGATTCTCAAAGAGACACATGAGGCAACTACAGGAACACCCCTGAAAATTGGAGGCAACACCATCAGGATTTTAAAAGATATCCCATTTGAAATAAGGAAGAAGAGGAAGAAGTACAAAGACTTCATCCTTCTTTTTTTAACAAACAAACAGCATTTCCTAAAGACGCCTGAAGGCGTCATTTTCAAACTGCAGGACAAAAAAGAAAAAATTGACTGTTTCCAAAGCGCGCGAGTTCCTGATATTGCAACTGGGAGAACCAGCTGAGGACGCTAAAGAAGAAGATGACAGCAAATCTAGCAGTGAACTGGACTCTGTGCCTTCCGACAAGGATTCTGCTTCAGAAAAGGGGGCGGCTGCCCCTAAACAAGAATACCAATTGAGGATTAGAAAAGATAAAGCAAAGTGAAGGCTGAAGGACTTTGAATGGTGCCTTAAAGCATGTGATATAAAGGATGCTCTTGGGGGTTGTCTTTAAATAGTTAAAAATGGTTAAAAAGATAAATATTTTAGCTTAATTGTCTATGTTCAATGTAATGTAAGCATTTTAGACTAACACTTATATAAGCTGATGTAATGATCTCCTATACTTGGGGTTTTAGTTAGTAGTGGTTTTCTTTCCTTTCTCCTTAGATGTAGATGTTCCCTCCCTATTTTTTCATTGTAGTTTGTAGTTTAAAGAAAATGCAATAAAAATCCCCTCGGGGGGCCAAAAAAACAAAAAAAGGTCAGTATTATGTACTCAGACTGACAGAGGCTCTCCAGGGTCTCAAAGAGAGGTCTTACACATCACCTATTACCTGATCCTTTCAATTGGAGATACTGGGGATTGAACCTGGGGACCTTCTGCATGCAGCCTGTCACCTAGCATCTGGTGACAGATCGCTCTTCTGGATCAAATAAGTCATGCACCATAAGAGAGGAGTCAGAAGAAACCCTAGAGCTTCATACACATCACTATGCATGAAGGTCTTTCCCCATCCTCCAAGCTCTCTGGAGTTGAGGTCAAAAGTTCCAGAGGCTGAATCTGGGTTTATGCTGGGGTGGACCAATTGCACATTAAGCCCCAATGAAAGCAAATTATCTTTTACTTGGTAGATGAGGACACCTAATATTTTACTATTATAGATCTCTGTATCCTGGCTTATGTCATATGAAAATGCTTGCAAATAAATCTAGTTTAATCAAGTTATATAAAAATACTGCTTTTTAATATTACACAACTTCTCCAAGGATATACAACTACATATTCACTGCTAGAAGCTTACGAGAAGACCAAATTTGCCTAGATGTAGCAATATGTTGCTGGCCTCCACAGAGATACCCCTTTACACAAGCACTTCTCCACTAAGTTTAAATCAAAGGAGCAGTTCCAGATGCACACCAAGATGTGTACACAGAGCTGACTCAACCGTTGAGGCAGATGAAGAAGTCACATGAGGATTTGGCATCCAGTCACAAACATGGTTAAAACTCATTAAAACCCATGGATATAGGCAGGAGTAGAATTCCTGGGAAATTGCTGGGAAAGATTGAAGGTCAAAGAAGACGGGGACGGCAAAGTATGAGATGGTTAGACAGTGTCATAGGTGCAACAAACATGAAATTGAGCCAACTTCAGAGGACGGCGGAAGACAGGAGGGCCTGGCGTGATCTGGTCCATGGGGTCACAAAGAGTCAGACTCGACTGTGCGACTGAACAACAACAACAACAACAAGAATTCCAAGAGTGGCAAGTGACTGACCTGTGTAGAAAAATCCTGCCCTTGCCAGAGAAACTGCATCAACCTGGGCTTCTTGTGGCCACGTTTTAAAAGAGTCCAGCCGTACATCTTCGTCCTCATAGATGTTTAAAATAGGTTCTGAATCTCCTTTTACAAGCAAAAATACCACAGAAGTTTAGAAGGACCTGAGCTATTGACAACTAGCGTCCGTCTCCAGATTTTACGAGGCACAGCATTATCCCTGTAGTATTATCATCAAAAAGGATTTTTAAATCTTGACCATTTCTAGCATTTGTAAAGTTTACTATAGTCATTTGTTTTACAGAAGGAAAAAACTTTCTCATTTTTTTGAGAGTTTAAACATTTTAAATATTAAACACATGTTGTTTTATCTTTGCTATACATCTTGGCACCGTTCCTGCTGGACTTAGTTTGCAAGAAGTTTATTCTAATTAATTAATTTATATCAAAGAAAGTAGTACACAAGGCTGTATATTATCCAGAAATTTTATATTCCAATATTCAGTGACTAAATGTTGCATAAATTCATTAATAGTTCGAGCCAATGCAGAATTAATGCATTTAAACCCGTTGGTTAATCCAGATGGCCCAGGCTAGCCTCATCTTACCACACTTTGTCTGCTAAACAGGGTCATCCCTGGATGGTACGATGAGAGATTTCCAAAGAAGCCTGGGGTTGCGACACAAAAAGTTTAACTTTTCAAATCTCTGCCAAAAATCAGCTGTCCATTGCCAACAGAATAATAAGTAATTATGGCAGGTTCCAAAAAGGATGGGGCACCCACATAACGCAGTTCTGTGAACATGAGAGCGAACAGCTCTTTCACTCTTATGAGTGAAGCCTCTAGTGCTACATTGAATGCTGCTTTAGAGGGTCTCTGACTTCCAGATGAAGGGTCCTCTGGAGCTATTGTAAGAAAATGGGAGCTGCTCCATGCCTGGCCCTTTGAATTTCAGATAAGAAGAATAATTTAACCATACTGTGCATCCTGAATTATATCTCCCTTATATACCTGTGTTGGGAGGCAATGTCTTCGCAAAGGATGTTCCAAAACACTTTCCCTAATCAAGACATAAATTTGAAATTAGCACAGTTTTCAGTTGAAGCCTCTGTAAATTATATTTCCTCCTGCTAGCTACATAGGGTTGTCAACTCCGAGTTGGGATATTTTTTTTGGGGGGGGGGTCCATGAGGAGGGAAGGGTTTGGGGAGGGGAGGGACTTCAATGGGGTATAGTGCCATAGAGTCCACCTTCCAAAGCAGCCATTTTCTCCAGGGGAACTGATCTCTGTTGCCTGGAGATCAGTTGTGATTGTGGGAGATCTCCAGCCACCACCTGGAGGATGGTGACCCTATCTAAGTTACACAGGCAGCCATCTCATTTGGCAATCCCTTTGCATGTGCCAGATGAAGACTACGGACGCAGACGTTTTCCTGAAGACTACCATGAATAGACTTGATCCAAATATCCATTCACAGGCTTGAACAGTGACACATAGGCTGAGTTCAGACTGGCAGTTTGGCCTGATATAGGCATGTTTCACAAACAGATTAAAGGGGCCAGTTCACACAGCCACAGCTGTCAGGCGTTCCCCAGCCGTACTCAACCTGTCCTATAACAATTCCCTACCGAGTTAAAAAAGTACCAGGTGAAAGCGGTAGCAAACCGTGGAGAGCACGTTGATCCCGCTTCCCAGAAGTGTGCACGCTAAAAGCCACAAACAAGCCGCATTGCTGCGCCTATGCACCTATGCGCATAGGCGCATGTCGCCGGAGTGAAAAAAAGCCACTTACAGCCACGCCTCTGCCAGGGGCGGGCCAACAGTGTGAACGCTCCCTTCCGCCTCCTCCCCGGTATGCGCCCGCATCAGTAGGTGCAGTGTGACCGGGAATCCCCGGCACAACTTGGTCCAGGTCTTTTTGCCCCGCCTCCCTCATGCTTCATACTGCCAGTCTGTCCTCAGCTATTTATGCCAGGCAGTGCAGGTTGAAAACAGGGCAAATGCTAACAGAACAGTCTGGTAAGAAATAGCAGAATGAACTAAAATTTGCAGTCTTCAGCACCTGTTTGAAATCTCTCCAGGTAATGGCGCCTTCACCCAATCATGAAAACTGAATTGTTGCTATGTAATTTCTTCCTGGACAGAGGAATTCTCCTTCAATTGCTAATTTTTCGATTTGAGTACAAGTGGAATTAAGCACATTTTTAACCCATAATATTTTACTTCTTGCTCTGTGCAAGGATGGGAAGCAGAAGACAGCCAGCTTTAAATTGAGCATACATCTCTAATTAAGGCTTTACAATTGAAAAACAGACACAAAAGGTGCGATTCGTGTATGCAAAGTTACTCTCTAATCCCTTTCTACAAATTAAAAGACTACAGCCACACGAGTCACATGGACACATTGTATTCCAGTAAGGTAGTTTATAGACAATGTTTTGATGCTTCTCTTCACACATGTTGAAGCTCTCTCATTCCCTAAAGTAACAACCTGGTCTGAATCTTAAGCACTACTTCATAGATGGCAATAGGATTCCTGAATGGTTGTCTCTAGTCATACAAAATTTAAATTTTACACCTAGACATTCAGTTGAAAGCATTTTCAGGATTAATGGGTAACCTGGCAACTCTGGAAAATCTAGCAATAATATATACACATGCTAGCAGTTCAATAAAATAAAGAGAATAGAAAAATACCGTAATATCAACAAATCCAGAATAATTTTGAATATATGCTTTAATTTCATCTCTGGACTTTTCCTTTTGGAGGAACTTGCACCTATAAAGTAATAAATAATATATTATTTCAGAGTTTTCTAAATAGTTATAAAGATATCTGTAATACTGAAATCTCAGGATCTAACACACTACATTTTACACTTGCCAGCTACATCCACATTGCAAGGTTTTCTAAATTGCAAGGATTGTCATCACCACCAGAAGTGCATGGGCATTCTTCAGTTAATGGAGCATCCACACCATAGTTACATGTATATGTTCCTCCCACAGTACCATTTCCCCTGCACCCCCCCCCCCCATGCATTGAAGGGCTTTTCCTGACTTTTTTTTTTTTAATCAGCAATTGGTATTGCGTTAAAAGGCAATAACATTATAACAATCTATTTCCAGGATCTCCTTAATTCCTAGGTTTTGTTTGTTATTTCTGCATCTGTAAAAGCTCAGGGTTGTTTTTCACTGCACTCTGGTTGTGACAACAGGGTTGCCCTGTAAACATGGTGTTGGGATGAGTGCAACAGACTAGGATGTGGAGGAAGACCATGGTTCCAGTCTTCACTCTGCTATGGAAGCATGCTGGACGACCTTCTGCATGTCATTCTCTCTCACTCTCAGCCCAACGTATCCCACCAGGTGTTGTGAGGATAAGTAGAATGAAGGGAGGTAGAATGATGTTGTAAGCTGTTTTGGGTCCACCTTAGGGAGAAAAGCAGGGTATATATGTCTAAACAAATAAACACTCACTCGGGGAACCACTTTGCATGTTCTTTCCAAGGATCATCCCCGTCTTTCCAATTTCCCAGGCATCCATTGCAGGCAAAGCATTGAACTGTGTCCTTTATACCTACATGTAAGATATGGCACATGCCTGAAATACTCCTGCCACCTTTTTGCACAACAAAATCCGCTCCGTACTCCCAAGTATATACAATAATGCAGTTACTTAAACATGTTAAAGCACATTTCTTTAAAAGGGGGGAATACTAAAGAAGAATTACCTGTAGAATTAACCACTAAGGTCCTTGATTCATAATTTGCTGATCATTCATAATAATTCATCTAAAGGCATGTCTCCAGATGATCTGGGGAATTTGTAACATTAACCAAACCAGCTGTGTCTTCCCAGAAAGACAAAATATGAGCAGTGGTGTAGACACAGTCCCTTCCACTTCCTACTTTAAGTGAAGAAGCCTTGAGGGAGATTTTTTTAATGTAACTGCTAATTTTCAGTAGGATCAGTTCAACCTAATGTTGTATTCAAATATGGGGGGGAGGTGCAACTGCACATTTTGTAGCGTTTCTCTTCTTCACTTGATTTTTGAAATTGTGCAAGTGCAGCCAAAATATCTTTCATAGTTGAGATAAATATTCAGGTTACACTTGTTGGACACTAACTGGGGGGGGGGGGTTAGACTGAGGTTGACAACATCCAGGTGGTGGCTGGAGATCTCCCACTATTACAACTGACAGAGATCAGTTCACCTGGAGAAAATGGCTGCTTTGGAAGGTGGACTCCATGGCATTATACCCCCCCCCCAAATCCCACTGAAGTCCCTCCCCTCCTCATATCCCACTCTTCTCAGGCTCCACCCCCAAAATCTCCAGGTATTCCCCAACCTGGAGCTGGCAACCCTAGTTAGATGGGGACATAAAGGAAAGGCTGGACTAACTAGGAGGAAAATGGAAACCAGAAACTGTTTCCTGGCTTCTCTAAGAATAGTTTCCATAGTTGTGTTCAGATGCACATAGGATGGAACCTACCCAGAGTTTTGTGCCGGTATTTACCTGCTGGTGCATCTGGCCACACCCCCAGCTATCAGGGGGCTTCACTGCAACAGGATACTAGGCTGCCATAGGCAGGCACAGGCCTCAGGCCCACCTGATGCATTCTCCAGCAGCCTCTGGACTGCAGCCCCAACCTCCACTGACCAAAAAAGTGCTGGTACACTATAATGGTGTACAGTGGCGTGATAAAAGCTCTGCACCTATCACTGGACAGGGTAAGGATGACCAGTTCCAATATTTGGGTTCAAGGTTGGGTAACAACAAAGTGCATGAACAATTAAAACCAGGTAATATAATTAATTCTTAAAACAGTTAAAATCATTTACAGTACTATTAAATATTAGTAAATTGCTTATTATCACTGATGAATTTTCACTGTCAGATTGACTGACAGGTGGTGTTCTGCAATTTGAGATCTAGCCAAGTTTGAGAACTGCGGAGGTATCTTTGTAGGATTCTTGCTGTTCCAAGCAACACTGGGTGCTTTCACACACACTAAATAATCCACTTTCAATCCACTGGAACTGGATTTTACTCTGGGCTATTCTGCATTGACTTTTCTCTCCATCATTTTACCAAAGGTGCAGCTCAAAACCACATTCAAATACCCCGAGGCAATGCCATACTGACTGCAAAGTCACCCCTGAGCAGCCATAAATGTATGCAAAAGATACCATAAAACCCAATGATCAAAGAAAGTGAAAGTGGCATGCAATGCAGAGAGGAATTTCTGTTCCAGCATGGGTTTGGTAAAACAATGGAGGGAAAAGCCAATGCAGAATTGCCCACTGTCTTCTGGAGCTGAGCTGGTGTTATTCATTCAATGCCCAGACTTCAGCCCCAATCTCCACTGACCAAAACAGTCTGCACTGGCATGAAGAAACCTCTGAACCTACCATTGGGTAGGGTAAGGATGGCCACTTCCACTACTATTAAGCAGAGGAGGAGGAGGAGGAGGAGGAGGAGGAGGATCCTGCAAAGATACCTCTGCAATTCTAAGAACATGGCTAGATCTTGAACTGCACAACACCATCTACCAGTCAAATATCTGACTTTGTCTTATTATTGTTGCCAGCATCCTCAGCCCTGAACCCGGGGTGGTCTTTCCCAAGAGAGAGACACCCCAAACCAGGGGTCTTGTTGTAGAAAAAGAGCTGCCGGAGCTCATTAGCATAACTCATTAGCATAACTTATTTGCATATGCCACGCCCCCTGACATCACCGGAAGTGACAGAAGGCCACACCCCCTGACATCACCGGAAGTGTGTCAGAAGGCCCGGCTACTTACCCTCCTGCTTCATCCTCATTCCCAAACGGAATGAGGATCGAAGCAGAGGGCGGGGTAAAGAAGGGGGCGGGGCTTCACCACGTGACCGCCCCGCCCCCTAGAGGTTCTCTTCCGGAGCTCCGTACCTGAGAGCTCCCCCCCGACTAGAGCCCTGCCCCAAACCAACCTCAACCTCCACAAGCAGTGCCCTATGAAGCCAGGCTTGGCTTAAACAGTGGCTTTTCCTGGGAGGCTAGAAGAACCACATCTTGGCTGAGAAAACTCAGGCCAAAGAGAATTCTCCAGGTTGGCTGCACTGCTAAACACCCTCCATGCAAG